GAAAAAGCTATCAGCGATCGACGAGGAGGTCGAAAAGTTAAAGAGCACATGTTTCATAACTGAAATCAAATATATAACTTGGGTAGCTAACATGGTCTTGGTTCATAAATTATCAAATAATGGCAGATCGATTTCACTAATTTGAATGCCCTAAATATCCATAGTTATTCTCCAACATTTCCCAATTGATCAATGAATTCTCTTGTTATAAGACTTTGAGCTTCATGGACACTTACTCCGGTTATGACCAAATAAAATGGAGCCCTTGAATGTGCCCAAAACGACGTTCATGTCCAACCATGGCAATTACTATTACAATGTCATGTAATTCGGATCAAAGAATGTAACCGCCACTATCAAAGGTTAATGAATGTGGTGTTCTCAGAATAAATAGAGTGCAACCTGGAAGTTTACGTTGATTACATGATTGTAAAAACCTCTATTGAAGGAAGTCATTGTAAAGACTTTGAGGATATCTTAAAGTCATTCCGAAGATACAAAATGCGCTTGAACCTTGCCAACTGCTCCTTTGGAGTTCAGGTGGGCAAGTTCTTGAGATTTATATTAACCAGAAGAGAGTTGAGGTGAACCATAAAATGGTAGACGATCATTGACATTAGAAGCCTTTTTAGTGTTAAGGAGGTTCAACAAGTAAAATGGTGCTTATGTGCTCTATCTCATTTTCTTTCATGTGCAAGTGAAAAAACATTTCACGTCTTTACCACTCGAAAGAAGAAGGAGAAGTTCGAGTTGTCAAACGAATGTGATGAGGCATTCGCAACATTTAAAGTCTTTTTGGAGACATTACCCATTATAAAATACCCTGAGGTAAGCACGCCCTTATACTTGTATTTATCTATCACTGTTAGGGAGATGAGCTATGTAATCGTCCAACTATTAGAAAATTGAATAATTGGCATTAACCGTTGTGATTACTACAAGGAAACTCAGACCATATTTACAAGGGCATTTTGTGATGGTCAAAACCAACTATCTCATTTTCCAAATCCTAAAAAAGTTTAATCTAGCAGGTAGGATTTATTCTGGTCGATTGAGCTATCAGAGTATGATATCCATTTCGTACCTAGATGAAGTATGTAATCTCTAAGTGCCGGAAAATTTCTAGGCATAATTCACTTCACATATGGGTGATGACATCCCTTACACATGGACGTTATATTTGGATGGCGCCTCAAATTTAAAAAAGAGTAGATACGGTATAGTGCCAGAAGGCCTAGACAATCTCCTCTTGGAGCAATCTCTTAGATTTTAGTTAAAAGCCAACAGCAATCAAGTTGAGTATGAAGCCTTTATTTCTAGTATGAACCTAGCCTAGAGATGGGAGCTTCGAGTTTCCGAGCCAGAACGACTCACAGTTTATCGCAAGTCAGGTCGCTGGAGAATACAGGCGAATGAGGCTCAGGTGATCAAATATCTCATAAAGGTACAAGAATTATCTAATTGTTTTAAATTCCTCAAAATTATATATATGTGTGTGTGTGTGTGTGTGTGTGTGTGTGTATGTATATATATATATATATATGTACCCATGGAACAAAACTCTCAAGCAGATCTCCTCTCAAAGCTCGCTTGCACAAAGAAACCCAACCATAATCGAGCAGTCATACAAGAAACTTTACCCAAACCCAGTATTGAAATAGAGGAAAGCAACGTCATCGAAGTTACCCAACTCATAGGTTGGATGGATCTCATGTTACGTTAACAAACTATAGACAAGTTACCTCCAAACGAGATAAAGACAAAGAAAATATGAAATATAGCAGCAAAATATACCCTGGTGTTTGGAAAACTTTATGAAATGGGAAAATCCTCCCCCATGCTAAGATGTTTGGAGGACGACGATACCTTTTCGGTCCTCATTTAAATCAACAAGGGGACATGCGGAAACGACATAAGCAAGCAACCTTTTGCCCATAAGTTGTTGAGGGTGGGCTATTATTGGTCCACTCCAATGAAAGATAGTGTAGAATTCATTAGGAAGTGTGATAAATTCCATAGAAATTCCAATCTACATCATATGCCAGTTGAGAATTTTCATTTCGTCACATCGCTATGGACACTTTAATATAGGGCGTGAACATCCTAGGTCATTTCCCCTTGAAGCCATGACAACTGAAGTTCTTAATCGTTGAGGTCGACTACTTCGCGAAGTGGATAAAAGCGAATGTCCTATCCAATATCACGTTAGAAATGATTCAATGTTTCTATTAGCAACAAATTGTATACATGTTTGGCCTATCTAGGGTCATCATATCAAACAATGGTACACAATTTTCTTGTTCATCTAAGTCATCCACCCGCATACCAATGGACATGCATATTTGGCAAATAAGGTTATACTGAGTGGGATAAAGAAAAAACTGGGCGACACCAAGGGCTTATGGGCCGAACAACTTCATGAGTTTTTATGGTTATATCACATTACCACTTGTTCCACCATCAAGGAAATGTCGTTCATTATGGTTTATGACACTGACGCCATGCTTCTAGTCGAAATTGACACGCCTATATGGAGGCACACAAAATTTAATGAAGAGGAAAAAGACACAGAATTTTAGTGTGCAGTTGACTTGATCGACAAAAAAGGGAGATCACATGGATTGAGGAATTCACTTCCAGAAGATACAATTTAAAGTCAATCCTAAGGGAGATGTAAGCATGCGACCTAGTATTCAAACAAGTGGTGGTACCTACCCGGTTGAGAAAGTTTCTACCTAACTGAGAAGGTTCATATCGAATACATGAGAAACTATCACAAAACACCCATAATCTCATAGAGCTGAACAGAAGACTAATCCTTAGAGGCAATTATATGTTGGACCTTTATTGAAGGATATTTGTTGTCCTATGAGGTATATCAATGTGGGACCGTCACTAAAGAATCCTCACCAAGAGAACTCTAGTTAACACTTAAGGGACTCGCCCCAAACAATAAATATGTGCAGCTGAGGCAATATAAACCTCGATATTAATTGACAAACTACAAAGAAATCCAAGTATCATAAAAGGAATCACAATAACTCTGAATGTTTTCATTAATAAACCTGAAATGTGTGGTTATAAAAGAGGTCTACAAAGTACAATAATGCAATCATTAAAAAGTAAACTAATAACATAAGAGAATTTGCATTCAGGGCAGGGTTGAATCCTTTTGAATTTGTCCAAAGCTTACCTGGGGGACTTACCCTGAGCTTACCAGAGGGACTCCCTCCAAGTTTGCTTGAGGGTGTCGCTAAATCTCTAAAATCTCGGTATGTTTGAGTTAAATCACTTAACCTTTTTCAATGCCTCGTGTTTGAGGGACTGTAGATTGAAATAATTTTTTGGTCCTAAAAGCTTGAGGAACAACCCATTATGTTAGCCTAGTAGTATAATGCTAGGTTGGAAAGGGTTGCAACCAGAAAAGGGGTGGTATAGTGCAGGAATGGTATTGAGAAGGCGCCCAGTCATAGTTTTGGCCTACCTGGTCCAGACATGTTATCACTTATCCATCATTGATCGTATGTGGCATTACATGTGTGATGAAATACTAACGGCTTTAACTAGGCCACGGGGAGAAAACCACTTTTTTTTAAGAATGGGGAAACCACTCCTCCATGATCCTATGTATTTTCTAGAACGTAAAAGGAAGGAAAGACTCTTGGACTTAATCCAACCTAGAGAAATCTATATAAATATCATAACCTCTAAAGTAAAATGAACATTCAGTTATTTGAGAGAACTCTCGTAGACACAAATTCCATAAAAAAAAATACAAAAACTCTCACAACAGTCACGTGAGCAGATTCTCCGCTCTTCACACCAGTACATGATTACGTCTTACAAATACGTGTCATTCATATTTGTCGAAAAATCACAAAAGGGACATAGATTCATTCAATGGACATGCTTTCGGATTAGATTTAATATAGATTTAGTATTGTTGTATATATCATCTTGTTTGCAATTCATCAAAGACCTTTATTTTATGCAGGATTTTCGATTTCTACAACAAACCAATTTCTTTCTCGAAATTCAGAGTTATCAATTAAATCTTCTATAATATGATAGTAGGCTGAACAAACGCTAGAAACCAATTAACTGAACTTGGCTAACTAGTCAACAAAGTCTTCTAAGAACCGCATCTGTCTCACCGGCACAAACATAGGTTATTGCTCAGCAATAAGTGAATTGCAATCACACACTTTTCTTAGGATGATTGTAATTAAAAATATTCTCATATTTTACCCTAAATAATTGACAATTCTTATATAAGTTACTTGCAAGTAAATTAGCTTTTTTAAAGAAAAATACATTGAAACATCTTTTAATACTAGTCTTTTTCAATTGGAATAAAAACAAGATGTAAACAAATTTCAAGTTGGGTCCAAATAAATTCTTCGAATTAAGAAGTTAAAGTCATCAACTTTGTAGTATCAAACTATTTTTGGCCTTTTTTTATTTCTGGAAACGTAATTGAGTTGAACACAACTTGATAGCCATAAATTAGAACTTATAAATGTAAGCATTTATTTCTCTATGATGGAAGGAAAAAAGAGAAATTGTAGTAAAAATTACAAAGGAAAGAAGAGTATAGTCCAATTCAGAACATTCTCCCCATAAGTATTATTAATGGATTAACTAAACATGCATCTAAGCATGCTTACTTCATCACTACATTATATCATATACTCTAAGCATCCAAAATGTACCAAAAGATGACATAAATAAAGAAAGGGCTGAGTCCTGCTCTAGCAGGATTTGTATACAGCCTCTCATCAAACTTTACAAATTAAAAATGACTGGTTATTAGTCATTCATGCCACAAAAATGGCAAATTCTAGAGCAGCATTTTGTTGGAATCTAAAAAGCCTTCTACACAACGGCTTCAAATTAAAATTATAAGAGAAAAACATTCTTGTTTTTTTTTTCTTCTTCTTCTTCCATATTAAACGCGGGGACAAAAAAGATAGACACATGAAGAAAATGTTCCACACTGTTTAATGAAAGCCTCCTCCAGTAGCTGATACAGACTTGGCCATATCTGGTGGTGGAGACGGCAGTAAGATTATAGATAGTATGCCACTTGCTAGAGCCGCCACGGCACCCACCACAAACGCCGGCAGGTTACCACCTCCAAACAGAGCGTCCCATGGTCCACTCAAAACAGAGACAAACATCTACACAAACACACTTGGTCAATAATTTAATTCATATACTTCATATACTAAATAAGATATATTTAATATTGTAATATATATATAAAGTAAAAGTACCTGTGGTATGACAATTGCAAGATTAAGAACTCCTAGAGATAACCCTGGAAAAAAAAATTGAACAAAAAGCAAAAGGTTAAGCACTTTTGTTTATGAAGGCTTTTAGTAAAATTGATTAACTAAGTAGATTATGATGAATTTTCTTATACCTTGGCCTGCCCCTGAGGTGCTGGAGAATATAGATGCTAGAGCAAAGGGTATGCTGTAAGTAATCTGAAAAAAATAATAACACATTAGTATTATTTTATTATTATAAAAATTAAACTAGAATATGGTATGTTTTAATACATCATCTCTCATATGCCCCTTTATTTCAAAATTAATATAATAATTCAGGATTAATTTGTTTTTTTGCAATTTAATTAGTAATTAAATTGACAGTTCATAATCAAAAGGAATAACTAAAACACTTCAAAAATGTTATTTTTTACATAGAAATTCAGAACAAGTTGTTAATTGTCTTTTACAATTCAAACAAAAGCAACAGACTAGCAAAATCTTTATTTCAAAGTAAAGTCCAAAATAAATTTGTCTAAAGCAAAGTTTCAATTCTTATGGAAAATTAATTACTCTGTTTGTAATTTACTGAATGGGACCCAAAAAAATTAATGAAAATTCTTTGGAAATCGTAATATTCACATGTCTTCTTTCATGCATGGCAAGCTCCAATTAAAAGTTGGTCAAATTATTTATAAGCACATAATCCAATTTATATGTTTTTATTTTTAAAAATTTAATATAAAAATAAATAATTCGTAAGAATAAAAAAAACTAGGCGAAAAGTTTACCGCGAGTGGAATCCCGAGAACGGAGAAGAGAGTTAACGCGCCGGCCTTGATACCGCCGGAAGGTGGAAGAGGGTCTTGGAGGCCGCCGGTACCAGGGGCGTATTGTCGTGAATGTTCGGCTAATTTAGTAACCAAAACGGTTAAACCCAAACAAATTGCGAGCAAGAAATTAACAATTCCCCACAACCTCTTCACGCCCCCAACTCCACGCGCCAAGATATCAACACCCAGTGACGTGGCACCTAAAACGACGGAGTTTAACATGAGTCCTAAAGCGCCCGCGCGCACACCCATATCATACGCATGACCTTCCCCAACCGTTCCTCCATAAACCTCTTTCCCCATCCAATCAGTATCAAACAACAAGAAAGGAAACCATGCAATCCAGTTAAGACACGTCACCAATAATAAGATCCACATGGGTCTCTTTAGTTCCTTGAAAGCACCAGATAACTGCCCAAAACACGGCATGCCACCGCTTGAACCACCGTCTTCGGCAGTCACAACGGTTTTCTCTGGAGAAAGTGGAGTTTCCTTCACGTAGATCAGTGCAGAAGTGGCTAAAACTGTTAAAAGCGCGATGGAGAGGAAGAAACAGCTTTTCAGGTTTGCACAGTAAACATCGCATGCTTTCGTTTTGGTGAACGGAAACACGTGGTAGAGTTTACTGTAAGCACCGGCGGCGTAGCCGAGGACGTTACCAACCGCCATGAAGAACGAGAAAAACGCGTTTGCGTTTCTCGTTTTTCGCTGGTTACCGGCGCAGAGGTCGCCGAGAAGTGCACGGCATGGTCCCTGAAGCATATTGTTAGCGACGTCGAGAATCCAGAATCCAACGACGAAGATTCCAATTGCTCGGGGACGGACTTTTTTGTCGAGGTTGTCGCCGAAGGAATGGCCGAGATCAGCGGCGTAGCCGATTAAGAAAACGGCAATAGCGACGGCGATTGAGCCGGCAGCAATAAACGGACGACGACGGCCGAAGCGGGAAGTACAACGGTCGCTGTGGTAACCGACTATAGGCTGCACAAGCATACCGGAAATTGGGCCGCAGAGCCAAATGTATGCGGCCCAGGTATGAGGGATACCGAGCAGCTGGACGTAGGGAGTTAAAAGAGAGAGTTGTAGGGCCCAGCCGAATTGAACACCGGCTGCGATGGATGCAACCACCATGATCTTACGGAGAGGACTTGGTTCAAGAGGTTGGGTTTCGACATGGAGAGAAGAAGGCTTGGCAAGATTGAGATTATTATTAATTTGTTTGGTGGGAGGGAGAGGCTCCATAGTGATAACAATGAGTGTGTTTTTGTGTTTGGGTTTGGGTTTGAAAATGTGTTGGTGATGGGATTTATTTATAAGGGAATGGAGAGAGAGGGTGAGGTTGTTGTTGTTGTTGCATGTAATGGAAGAATCTGGGAGTGATGTGAGTTTGAAAAAGGGAGAAAGAGAATTGTGTGGATAATTACGGATGAGGTAAATGTTTGATGCGTGTGGTGGGGTTTATCTGTTTGGGTAAGTAAATGGGTGCGTGGACTTGTGTAGTAAATGCTTCTTTCCTCGTTTGAAACTGACGCTGTAAATTCTACTACTAGTACTTGTCTTTATTTGAAGGCTCTTTTTGAAGTTATTCAAATGCATTTACTAGCTTTTCTTCTTTGAAACCATAATATAGGGAGATTCTTGCACTTGGATATCATGCAAGGAAATGGTTTAGGATAAGGGTAGAAACTCGAGACTACTAATTTGGAAGACTAACTGCTTGGCTATTGGGAACAGGTAGATAAGGATAGTGTTGTAGTAATGCAATGTCATGTAGTAGTTCAATAAGCGGCTTTATGAATTGGTGAATTCAAGAGTAATTATAAATTTTCAACCAGTAGACTTTAATGATATTAGGTGTGGAGATATACTAGTCTGGGTGAATGGGTACAACGGGTGCTAGATATTTCACCATTTTAGAAGTATTCATGTTTTTAAGATAGTATTTCAAGAATTTATAAAGTAAATTTTATATTAAAAATAATAACTTTTTATTTTTTAATAAATTGAATAAATTAATTTTTAAAATATTTAGTGATATATTCGTAAAAGACTTATTTGTAGTGACAAGTACAATATGACACACTGGAGTTTCTGATAAAACTAATATGGATCACACATTTGCCATTACAATTCTCACCACCTTTCCTTGAATATGGCTAACAAAGCTCCTCTTTTCGTGGTTAACACTATAGTTGGAGGTTTTACATGCAAAGGAAGTTTCAACTCCTCTCGAAGGAAATATGTCAGACAAGTAATGACCACTAACGTAATATTTTTGGGACTCTTCGAAGTTGGCCAGGGAGAACCAGGAGTTAACATCGCATTTTCTAGCAGTGACGCTATCAAAATCCTCTTTCACGATAACTTTCCTATTGTCATCGTTGTGCAACACAGAAACTAGGATATTAAACGAGTCTTAATAGACCCCAGAAGCTCAGCTGGCATCTTATTTTGTGATTCTTTCCAAAAACTATAGCTTGATCCCAACAACATCAACGCGTTCCAGATATCGTTAGTAGATATGTCAGGTGAACAGGCGTGAGTAATGGGCCGCATAGTCCTCGAAATAACTTGCAGCTTGGGATCTAATTCCAAGACAATTGAAGTCAACTACCTCATAGTGGAAGCTTTATCGCCATATAACATAATTCAAGGTAGATCCACCATCAATGTGTTAGGGAGGATTATTTCGACCAGGTACCTGGTTCTGAAGTACCCGCTACCTAATTGACGAGTCAGGACAGTTCGAGAAGACCAATAAATCACCCAAGAATTCACCATAGCAACTTGACAATATGGGAAAGGAAGAGCTCGCCTTTGAGGTCGCCCTCTCCCTGAAGCGCTGGATGAAGACATTGATAATTGGGATCCTAGACTGGGCGGGGGCAATGAGTTACTCACACCTATGAAGGATGTAAAGGAAATTCGGATAGGTCCTTCAGCCCACTCGGTGAAGAAGATATGCACCTCGCTTACCGAGAAAATTGCGAGCTAGTCCCCAAACTCAGTAGAAATGTCGACTTGTTCGCATGGGCTCCCTCAAACATGCCAAGAATAGACACTAGAGTGGTGTTTCATCGCCTCACGGTTAATCCTTCTACCAAAGCCATTGGCACAAAGGAAACGGAAAGTTGGCGAAAAGAAGAGAGTTGTCATCGACAAAGAAGTAGGAAAGCTATTAAGTGCCGGGATCTTTAAGGAGACAAAATATCTAACCTGGTTAGCCAATATAATGTTGGTGAGAAAAGAAGTGAACTAGTGGCGCACGTGCGTGGACTTCACGGATCTTAACACGACCTACCCTAAGGACCCATATCCTCTGTCAGATATTGACCACCTGATTTATAGGTCCTCGGGCTATCATACTTTGAGTTTTATTGATGCCTACTCGAGGTACAAACATATTAGAGTTGATCCCTTGAATCATGACAACTACTACTACAATGACATGCCATTCGGCCTCAAGAATGTTGGCTCCACCTACCAGCGACTCATGGACACTGTGTTCTCTTACCAGATAAGGTGGAACCTGGAGAGTTTATGTTAATGGCATGATAATGAAAGCTACAAAAGGGTGCAACCATGATACGGACTTCGAGACATAACACCCTAATCCCCAAATACAATTTATAAAAACATTGCAGAAGATATGAACATAAAACAAGGGTGTCACACTGACAAAGCATCCAACATTCGAATTCCAAATAAAGATTTAATTCAGAAACCTAGCATAAGTAATTAGTTTAAAAAAGGACATGGAAAAGTATCCCATCTCGATGTTATAATATCAGTGCGAAAATGAAAGGAATACTAATAAGTCAACAAAAGGCACATCGAACATAAAGCAGAAACAAAACTACTGAATAGGCTAATTACGCCATCCTCCGTTAATAATAGTTATCACTCTTTAGTCTCAACTTGGGAATTATCTGCATTAAGATACAAAAGATATAAACATAGATAAAAAAGAGGTGAGAATGCATTCCATAAATTTAACGGTGTATAAACAACAATGATAGTACACAACAAGCATATTCAGTCAATAATGATGTACGTTATACAATTTAATTATGAAATGTGTATTTCCTCTACTCCCATACATGTGGTACCAATTCTAACATTAGCCAAAGTCTGGGATATCAGATTTATTTTACTGAGTAATCCTTCACACTGAACCGAAGTCCTGAACACTACACCAAAGTTCTAAGCAAATCTCTAATATACATGATCCAAGATCAAACAAAATGAAAATAATCTCCATCCGAACATCCTACTTCAATTATCAACGTTGTCGATTGAGGCTAACACTGGTCCTTCCGAACCTAAAACATATTATACATTGTTTCTTAGAACCTAACCATAGTTCATATCAATCACTGCCTATTAGGGCTAAACATTAGTTCGCCTTGAACCTAAAACCATCAAATTTCAACACGGACTAACCACGATAAGGCTAAACATTAACCAACAATAATCAATCATAATAATTTCCTCAAGAAATATTTACTTAACAACATGAATTAAGTTGAGGAAATTGATACTTATGAAAAATTTGTCAAAATATCAAAATCGTTCAACGACGGGCCTGACGGTCTAACCGTCATGTCCATGGCGATCAGCGCCCCTGAGAAATGCCTACCCATCATCACGAACGATTGTCGAGGGCCTAGTGTTCTTCGTAATATCATTCAACTAAATCACATGAGACGGGTTTGGGACATACATATGAAGTTGAGAGACATGAAAGACACTACGAAAGTTTGAGAGAGATGGTGGTAATGCAACTTGATAGGCAACTTCATTGATTCTCTTAAAATTTTGGTAAGGATCAATAAAATAAGGAGTAAGCTTCCAAGACTTCAATGTCCGACCAACTCTAGCCACTAGGGTGACTCTCAAGAACACATGGCCTCTTTCCCGAATTCAATGGTCTTTCTGCGCTTATCATGATAACTCTTTTTGTATGCTCTTCGATGCCGCATATTTTCCTGAATTATCTTAATCTTCTCGGTAGTTTATTGGACTATTTCAGGTCTGAGTGCAATTCCTTCACCAAATTCAAACCAAGACATGGGTGTTTTACACCTTCTTTCATGCAATGCTTCAAAAGGTGTCATTTTGATACTATAATGGAAACTATTGTTATAAGTAAACTCAACCAGTGGTGAATAACTATCCCAACTACCTTCCTACACTAGGACACAAGCCCTCAACAGATCTTCTGAGTACTGGATAGCTTTTTCCGTCTGACTGTCTATATGTGGATGGTAAGCAGAACTGAACTTTAGCTTGGTTTCCATGGATGCTTACAAAATGTCCCAAAGTATTTACGTGAATCTTGGATCTCTATCTAAGACAATTCTAGAGGGAATTACATGCAATCTCATTATCTTGCTGATGTAAACCTCAGATAGCTTCTGCAATGAGTAAGTGATCTTTATCAAAATAAAATGAGTTAACTTAGTGAACCTGTCCACTATAACCCAGATCAAATCATCTCCTTTAGTGATCTTAGGAAACCCACTACACAATCCATGTAAATACTATCCCACTTTCATTCAGGAATACTCAAATGTTGCATCAATCCAGACGGCTTCTGGTGTTCGATCTTCGACTTCTGACAAATTAAGCAAGTGTCATAAATTCTGTAATGTCCTTATTAAAGTATGGACATTAAAACATCCTCTTAAGATCTTGATACATCTTCATGGCTCCTGAATCAATATTCAAACTACACTTGTGGCCTTATTCTAGAATCTTCTTCTTAAGTTTTGGTGAATTCGACACACAAACTCAATCTCGAAACTTAATGATCACATTCTCTTATACCTTGAAACCCATTCATTTTCCTCGTTTAATTAGTGCTAACTAATCAATCAATATCAAATCCAACTTCTGAACCTCTTTGATTTATGCCAGTACATCGCTAGTTAACTTCAACATACGCAACTTCACACTTCCTGGCATGACATCACACACAAAGCTTAGATATCTAAAATTCTCAAGCAATTCCATCTATTTAACAACTAGTGTTGACATATATAAGGACTTCCTACTCAACGAATTTGCTACCATGTTATATTTTCCACGATGATAATTCAACTCGAAGTCATAATCCTTCAAAAAAATTAGCCATCTTATTTGCCTCATATTCAGTTCCTTCTAGTAAAACAGATAATTCAGACTCTTATGATCACTGAAAACTTAAAATCTCGACCCATATAGATAATGCCTCCAAACTT